TCGTTGCCATGTTCCCACCAATAATGTAGCTCCATTTTCTGCCTTTAAAAGCACACAGAGCCCACAATTCCTCTATTTGCTCCGACGAAGGGCTAACTCTCGAAACGTCAGCTTTTGTAATCATTACGGTGGCCAATTTATCATGTCAACTTTGTTGATAATTATCCAAACTAATATCTAAAGAGTTGTACAGCAGACAGTATGGAGAATTACTAATTACTTGAGATCTTGAGAGTGAACTGGTCAAAATGATTGATATTTTACCTCATTTCTCCTGATACTTACATGTATATCCATCACTGACCCCCAACATTTTGTTTATAATTAGCGGTAAGTCACATGATCAAAACTTGTTTAACCGGAAACATTTCAGAAACTTTTATTTCATACCTGTAAAAATATGCCTCACAAGCTGCTCAGAATATTGAGAGTGCAAAACGTAGAAAATAAAACACCAGCAACTACAACAGTAAAGAAATGATAAAACACAATTTAATTAAAGGTAAATAAAATTATTAAACTTAATTTCCTATCCCTCACATTTTCTGAGACAAGGATCAGGAAGACATGGTGACCAGTATAATCAAGTTTTTTTTTTCTTTTTTTTTTAATAAAAAGCATTTACAGATCTTAAAAGATGTGCTACTTATTGGAGGTAAAAAATTTCATTGAAAAAAATCTTCTAGTTGTTGGATGACATTTAAAAAAAAAAACAAAAACAAACAAACAATAAGGAAAGAACACGAACAACCAAACTGTTTTAGTTTTACCCTTTACACCTTAACATCAGTATGCATATTCTCCATACTGTTCTCTATACATTTCCTGAGGCATTGACAAGGAGAATTTATTTAATGAACAATAAAGAACTTCTTTAGTAAATGATCATTTCCTTAGTTTACAAACTAGAGAAATTAAATTGCTGGCTGAAATTTCAAGCAAGATAGCTGAAAAACATTTTCAGTGCATAACCTCTGAAGTGCCTGCTGTGCCTGCTGTGCTTTACCAAGCAATGGCTGGCCAAAAACTCACCCAGTGATTGCCACATTGTCATCAAAAGAAAAACACTTTTTCTACCTTTCCTTTTTTAATCTGAGAAGTCTACTGACATGCCTGAACATTGAGCTCCACCTCTGTGACAGTTTTCCTACTTCAACTGATTAAAAGAATTTCAAAAATGATGCACTGAAAGAAACCTACCTTGTTTGCTTCAAATATTTGGATCTGTAATTTTCCAGGAATAGTGTGGAACAACAGATAAGCATAGGACCTAATGGCATACTTAGGTGAATATTCCCAGGTTTGAAAACCAGAACCAAACATCAGAAAATGCATCTAAAACAACCATCAATGATGAATATCAGTAAAACACGTCAGATGGCAAGAGCTATCCCAACTAGTGAATTCTACATCAACTTCCATACAAAACTTTCATTAAAAGTGTCGCTTATCAGTTTTGATAGAATCAATGCAATTAAGTCACCAGAAAACTGTACAATTGTTATTAATATTCAAAATAACACATTGCAAATATAATGACTGTGAATTTTGTAAATAAATGTGGTTTGGAAGCACAGGTTGGTTATACCAACTTTGAAATAAAACAGGTAGGAAAACCACTATCAGTGATAAATTTTGAAGAGCTGGTATTTGGTTGATGCTCTGCATATCTCTTTATCAAAATTCATTACAGCAGTTCAACAACTTTTCTCACCATATTGCTGATACTCATAATCAACCAGTTCTTTCATTTGTTGAGCTCAACACTTTCCTTGTTTGAACTCAATACATAATATGCAAAACTGTGCAATTCATTCCACATCAGAAGCTCAGAATAATCCTGATGAGAAGAATAAATATATCTTATTAACCAAGTGCTAGGACAGTACTGGGAGAATATCGACCCGAGGTCTTGACAGTACGCACCGAGCTGCACTCGGTCGGTACAAAAAAGACCGAGGGCCGATATTCTTCCAGTACGGTCCCGAGCAAGCTTGGTTAATAAGAGATTTATTTTACGACTGAAGTTCAAAGGGACACAACAAGTGCGGTATCAATCGGGACCATTCAGGACAGTGCCCGGTCCAATACTGAGAGAATATTAACTGGCAATAGAGCATTTTGATTGGTTGATTTTAGTTATTGGTCCTCTGACTGCCCGAGTCGTGTAAAAATAACAGTTGTGACCACACAAAAGAGCTTGGTTATTACTCACAGGTTCCCAATAGTTGAACGTCTCATCACAATCTGATATGTTGCTCAGAAATGCCGAACAGAATCTTGCTGACAGCAGCAGTTTAAAGATTGTATACGGTCTTGGACACCACACGGAATTGTCTGGTTGTGAAAGTTTCTTTGTTCTAAAAGACAAAGTTACACTTTGACAAATTAAAAGTTGTAGAGGTAATTTAGCCAAGTGATTGGGCACTGGGTTTGTGATTGAAGCCCTCTCCCTCCCTTTTCTTGCTACCCACTAGATTTTTTCTCAGTTGCCTTTAGTACAACTCGTTAAGTGCACTTTGTATACAGCCATCTGGGGTCCGTTTCTCAAAAGTCCAGGTAATTTAACAGGCCTGAAGCCATGTTTTAAAACCAAAATTTAAAGGATAGGAAAGCAGGTTCTGGCACTCAAACCAGTCCTTTTCGTTTCTTTAGCTGATAGTTTTACTGTGTTGTTTTCAAAACTTTTGAAATCCTCATCTTGAATGAAAATAGAACAGCTTTACAGACCCATTAAGTTACCAGGTCTTTCAAGAAACAGTCCCCTAGTCTGCCCCCAGCAAGTTGGGATTCTTTCACACTATGTTTAATTCCAATGTTTGTTTCACTTTGTTTTTACTGGTCTTGAAAAGCCCAATTATGGTTATCACTGTCATTAATATAACTAGTATTAGAAGTACCCTCAAACTATGCTGCATGTACATGGAACCAAAAAGTTTTGTCATAACTGATAGAAATAATACTTAAATGATTATTATAAACATGGTGATTCAAAGATTTTTTCTTTTAGTTTTACTCTCGCTAATTATCTCTGACTCAATGTTTATATTCATCACAACGGGCTAAAACCTCTCACAAAGTATAAAATTTTCTATGCTGGAATACAAAGTTCAACAAAGTGTGAGAGTTTTAAATTTGCCTTACATCAAAAAAGATAGCACATTTTGAGCTTATTTATCGCATGAACAATGATGTAAAACAATGATGTAGGGCATGACACAAAGCAAAATCAGACTTTCCCAACAAGGATTCAAATACTAACTCAAAACAGTTCAAGGTCAGATGCTACACCTGGGGGGCCATAAAGGAATACTTTTGTTTTGTTTTATTCTATCCTTTTTTAGTTTCCAGTTTCTTCTTTCTTTAACCTATTAATACAAGATAATTGAAATGGAAGAGAAGAGTATAGCAACTTTTATCTATTAATTTTTTTTAGATATAGACCTGATGAGTATTATCAGAAAATGAATTTTGCCATTATTAGCTAGCCATTCAAGAATAGGCCTTGGCATGCTGCATATTAATTCAACCTTCCTCACTTTCTGGGGGAGGGGCAGGGGGTGTGGGGGTGGTTATCGATACAAAACGACAAGTTCCAGAAAACAATTGTTTCTCTCAAAGGCTTTTTTCATATCGGTAAGTGTCTCTAATGCTGCACTGTTTTACAGTAAGTTAACCACGGGAGCAGTTAGAAAGGGTATCATTTCCAAAGAGGAATCTTTCAAAAATTGAGAAAGGATGGAGGCCACAAACCGTGATAGAAAATGTAGTCATTCGTCCAAACTTCTTCGGCCCTCAGTCCACGTGCCAAAGCCTGTTTCTAGCGCTTACTAAAATGCAACCTTAGCGTTTCCCCGAAGAAACTGGGAGGTATCACCTGGGAGGTTCGTGATATCCCTTTCGACTCTGTTTTTGACTTGCATCTACGGATTCTGATCCTACAATACTGTCGTAAAACGGTTTGCATTTCAGAAGAAACAGAAACGGGGTTGATTTTCTCGACGTCCAGGCAGTGGTGGAAATCGACACCCAAAATGTTTGAGATCAAATCAATCTTTAAAAAGGTTACAGCTGAAGATTAAGATCAGCGTGCCAAACGAGAGAATAATAAATAAAAAAAAAATTAAAATCCAATTTTACTTACAGATCAACATCTACACTGCTTGTGGAGTCGGAGGTGGCTTCAAAACTTGAAGAAACTGTTCCCGCTTTCTGCCTCCGAGCCGCCATGTTGTTTACACGACCACGAACAAGCACATGCTACTCAGCGGATAACCTAAAAAGCCCTCTATCACACTTTGTGATTGGACAGTTGTATTCCGACAAAACATTAATGAACCAATCAAAAATTTTGTATTATTTCGACACGAGCGAGAACAGCAATGGAAGCTAAGGTAAATCTAGAGGAAAGACTGCGTGAATTGTGTTGTATTGGCGATGAAATTAATGTAAAAGCACTTGTCCAGAAAGGAGTCAACATAAATGCAGCGAACGCGATGAACGGATGGACGCCCCTACATTGGGCGGCGAAAAGAGGACATTTGAGTATTGTGAAATATCTCGTTCAGGAGGGAGTTAATGCGGCAGCGCTCACATATAAAGGGGAAACTGCTGCTAAACTTTCCAATGACAGTGGTATTAGAAAACTGCTTGGAGAAAGCGATGGTACCGAATCAAGCCAAGCCAGTGAATCTTTACCTATCGTACCAAATTATCTTCGAAATCCGGAGTTTTTCTACGCCGAAAAAGTCACTTTTGGGAAAGAGGATCCCAGATTTAGACAGCAGGAGACTACTATTTCAAACACGTGGAAGCACGAATCTTCGACTGATACAAACGCTTCGGTTTATTCAAATTGTTATGCTGCCCACTCGGAGAAGGAAATTGTCGTTAAGTTGCGAGTTGCCGATTCAGAGGAGAAAGACTTTATAGAAGTTGATCTCGACAAAAGTAATCTAACATTTCGATTTCTTGTGACAATTTTCTGCCAAGAACTGGGCATCGAGGCTAACAATATTAAGAAAATTAGAAAATTGCCAAACACTATAGTTAGAAATGACAAAGATGTGAAAAGATTGGTTCCATTTCAAGAACTGGAGGTAGTGATAAAGGAAAATGTGAGCTGAAATATATTTTTTCTTTATGGGAGTAGAAATGTTGGCCAGGCGTACATCTCACCATTCTTGAAAGATATTGTGAACATTGAAACATTGATTTGTTTGATTAAATAATAATCGCTATTTTTTCTGTGTTTAATTTCCCACCCAAAATGTGAATGTAAAATTTCCTTTCCTCCTCTTCTGGAAGGGTAGAAGTAAGGGAGAAGGGATGACAGAGCTGGGAGGGGGGGGGAGCTTAAAATTCCCCTCCTTTGCAAGGAAAACATTTTATTCCCATAGCATGGAGTATGTTTGAAAAATAAAAGAGAACCTAAAAAAGAAAAAAATTAATTAAAAGGCTACATAAACAGCCATATACAAAACCTTTCAGAAACTTTTAAACAGACACTTATTTCTTGGCAAAGATTGAAAATACAATTTCCAAGCAGCTAGCTCTGGCCCCAGAGTCCCTCTAAACTCACAAGTTGAAAAGTAACAAGTAGGCTTAGCCATCCCTGGGGAGATAAAGGTGTGGATTGTAATGTACCCTATCAGACTACAATTTTTGACAAAAGTGAATCACATTTGGGCACATGAAGTCTAAAATAATAATAATAATAATAATAATTAGGATTTCTTTACGTGCCACATCCATAGGCTCATGGTGCTTGTGGAGTGAACACCCACAATTGATATGACAACATGCAACACTGAGCCTCTATAACCGAGGTATTAGAGAGTCACCAACCACTAATTTATTCCTACAACAAGTAAAATATTTCTGGTGCAAATCCTGTGTGTTGCCTGGAGGTGAATAGCAAAGGACATTCAGAGTTTGAATAGCTGATCAAAGCACACATAATTTTCAAAGCTATCCACTGTTTTAGTGTATACTAATCAGTGTGATCCTGTGGCAGTAGATGATCCATCCATAAAAATGATATCAAACCACTTAATAAAACCAAATCCAATAAAGATTGAGTGATTATATAGGTTCCTGGGCGTTTCCTCAGTTCTTAAGTTTATTCGTCAAGATAGCTGCTACACAAACAAACCAAAAAAAATTAAAAAGGGTACATATACAGCCTCATACAAACCCTATTGGAAACTTTTAAACAGAAAAATATTTCTTGGAGTATGAAAGAGTGATTATTTAAGTTCCTGAGAGCATTTCCTCAGCTCTTTACCTTATTCCTCAAGATCTGATTGAAAATTCCTGCTCTAGCTGCTACATAAACATAAAAAAAAATTAAAAAGGCTACACATACAGCCTTATATAAACCCTTTCACAAATTTTTTAACAGGAAAATATTTCTTGGAGAAAGAAAGAGTGATTATTTAGGTTCCTGAGCTTTTTCTGAGCTCCTTAGTATATTTCCCAAGATCTGATCAAAAAATTYYCCYYAT